CCTCCCAGCCCGCTCCATCCCTCCCCTCCTGCCCTCCCTCTCTCCCTCCCGGGGCTGTTTCTTCCTCGGCCCCCCGCCCCTCGCGGTGCTGCCGATCCGAGCCCAGCCGTGCCCGGAGCCCCGGACGAAGCGGCGGACAAAGGCCCGGTGGGTGCGCGGCACCGGCAGCGCCGGCCCCTTCCCCCGGGACGCCCCCTCCCCCTGCCCGCCTCCCCCCAGCCATTTTAACTCGGTCCCGCCGGGGTGGTGGCAACTTCACTCGGAGGCGAAACGCGGGCGGGCTCCGCTCCCCTCCGCGCCTCCTCGCCCCAGGGTGAGCCCGGGTCCCGGGGGGGATGGAGGGGGGTCGGATCTTCTGGGGGGCGGTCCCTGGCGCGGTCGGGACACAAGCGGCTGTATTTCSACCTATTCCGGCCGTGCGGCGCGTCGGGGAGAGGGTCCCCGCGACGTCGGTGTCGTTCGGGAGACGGGGTACCTCGGCCCCGAGGGGGCGGACGGACAGGCGGGGGTCTCCGGCTGCCGAGAGCAACCCCGAAGAGTTCACGGGATTTTTCCTTCTTCTCTCCTCCTTCTCCTCCTCTCTCCTCCTCCTCCGCCTCCTCCTCCCCCCGCTGCTCCTCCCGCTCCCCTTCCCGCGGCGGGCCGGCGGCCGCAGCAGACGCCGCGCTGCCGTGAGGATGCCGCAGCTGCCGGGGGCCGGGGGCGGTGGGGGGGACCCGGAGCTCTGCGCCACCGACGAGATGATCCCCTTCAAGGACGAGGGGGACCCCCAGAAAGAGAAGATCTTCGCCGAGATCAGCCACCCCGAGGAGGAGGGCGACTTGGCCGACATCAAGTCCTCCCTCGTCAACGAGTCCGAGATCGCCCCCGGCGCCAACGGGCACGAGGTGCGCGGCCGCGGGGGCTCCGCGGGGCAGCGCGGACCGAGGGGTTGCGGGATGCCGCGGGCTCCGGCCGCCTCCGCGGGGGAGGGAGCTTCGGCGGGGCACCGRGGAAACCTCTGCCTTCCAAATTTCCAATTAGAAAAGAAATCATCCCACCCCAAATCCTGTCTCCAGAGGTGCGCCGGGCAAAGCCGGGCGGGCTCCGCGCCCGGGGATGGGCTTGGAGGGGCTGGCCCTTTCCGCGCTTCGGCCCGGGACGAGAAAGTTGCCGCGAGTTCCCCGATGGTGCGGTGGTATTAGACCTCAAGGAGCCATGAAATTTCCTCAGTAAAATCAGCGGGGTCGGAGCATTAGCTGTAAACTCTTTAAGGGATTTGCATAAAACTGTTTGGGAAGAAATTCCCGACTCTAAATCAACTTCAGGGTGAGCGGGGAACCCACTTTTAAAAAATTTTTGTTTAATGCTATTTTCTTTTTTTTTATTTCCTTCTTTTTTTTTTTTTTTTTTTTTTTTTTTTTTTTTTTTTTTT